TTCTCCTTTCCTGAAGCAAAATAATCTCACAATACTCCAGTATTTTAGACACAAAGTAGACAGGGATGAGAAACAGGGACTAGACCTGTGATTGCACTCATATAGAGAACTCTCAATGAAGAAACACCCCTTACTAATGACTATTAGCAGCTTTTCAATTTACTCTCTTACAGAGTCGGCTAACACACTTAGGTTAAGTGACTAGCCTAGGATCACACAATCAGTCTGTGAAAGGTAGGGCTTGAGGTCAGGTCTTCTGGCTCAGAGTCACCAAGTCAACTTCTCTTTAACATAGTAGAAAACCAAAGGGGCAGCTAGATGGCACAGTGGATAGAGCACTGGCCCCGGATTCAGGAGGACCTGAGTTCAAATCCAGCCTCAGACACATAACACTTACTAGCTGTGTGACCCTGGGCAAGTCACTGAACCCCACTGTCCAACAAAAAAAAAAAACAACCCCAAAGTAAAAGTCAGTGCATTTAATTCAAAATTGTGGCAATATTTAAACTTCCTCTTAAATTAACATTAATATACACTATGGCTTCAGGAGACCTATCTGGCAAGTAGCCCAACTGAAAATAAGATGGAATCAATTCTTTTTAAAGTGGAAGATACTCAAAATTTTCTCAAAGATTAAACTATACATAGGTGTTAAGGAAAAGTTAATGACAAGAGACATTCATTCAAGAAATATTAACATTGAAAATCTATTATATGCAGAGTTCTGTGAAGGACACAAAGATTTTCAGACATAATCCAGTACATGACCTCAAGGAGTTTACAATTCTACAAGAGAATGTAAGACAAGGACATAAATTCATTGTAATACGTGTTAAGGTGAAAAAATATCAAAAGAGAGGGGAAAATATCATGGAAAGCCATAAAGTTTGGGCATCAATTTTAGGAAGAATACTGGTAAGCTAGAAAACATTCAACAGAAGTCTTCACCAAGAAGACTAGAAAGGGTGAATGCCCCTCAGTCCATGTCATACTGGCAGCAACTGAAAGAAGCGGGAATATTTACCTGGAGAAGATGGGGATAGAAGAAAAGAAGGTTAAGACCTGTTATTTTTCAGGTAGTCAAACAATCAACATTTATTAAGCACACTAATAAGTGCTGACTCCAGCAGGGAAAACCGGCAGTGGGTAGAAGTTGCAGTGAAGCAAAGTTAGGCTTGAGGCCAAGAAAAATTTAACAATTAATTTTGTTTTTTTCCTTCTAGTCACATCCGACTCTTCGTGGCTCCTTTTTGGGTGGGTTTTCTTTGCAAAAACTACTGGAATGGTATGTCATGTCATTCTCTGGCTCATTTTACAGATGAAGAAAGTGAGGCAAACAGCATTAAGTAATTTGCCCAGGGTCACCTAACTAGTAAGTATCTGAGGTCAAATTTAAAACCAAGTATTCCTGATTCTAGGCCCAGCACTCTAGCCACTGCACCACCTGGTTACAGGAGAGTTTGGGATTTTTCAAAATTAATACTCCAGTTTGGTTTAAGAGGTTAATCAGGAATTTGAGCAATAATCAGTGTGAAACTACAACTAAATCACGAAGTCTTGAATGACAGGTAAAGAAGTTTGGAAGGTGATGCAGTAGATAAAAGAGTTCTGGGCCTGGAGTCCGGAAGACTCATCTTCCTGAATTCAAATCTTGCCTCAGACACTTACCAGCTGTGTGATCCTGGATAAGTCATTTAATACATTGTTCCTCAGTTTCCTCATTTGTAAAATAAGCTGGAGAAGGAAATGGCAAACTACCACAGTATCTTTGCCAAGAAAACCCCCAAAAAGGAGTCACAAAGAGTCAGACTGAACAACAACTTCCTGACTCCAGGCCAGACACTACTCACTGCGCAACCTAGCTGCCCCTTAACAATCAATGCTATCTATAAGTAGAATGGGCAGCTTTAGGAGGTAGTTCCTCCTCATTAGAAGTCTTCAAACAGAGGCTATGAGTGACTCTCTTGTCAGATAAGTTGTACTAGAGAGTAGAAGGGGGATGGGGCAGTCTTTTGGGCATGGATCAGACTAGACAGATGGCCACTGAGGTACCTTCCAACTTTTATACTTTGGGGGAGGTGGGGTAGCCAAGAAAATCTCAGGAAATGTTAAATAGAAGAAACTGCATTTATGCTACATCTTAAAGGATGAGTACAAATGCAATGATAGGGGCAAAGAGTTTTACAAAAGAAATACTTTGAATGAGTATCATGAGAAAACACATGGGGGTAAGGAAAAGAACAAGCATTTATTAAGTGCCTACTACGGCCAGGCACCGTGCTAAAGGCTTTACAAATATTATTTCATTTGATTCTCATAACTCTGCAAGGTAGAAGCTATTATTATCCTCATTTTACAGATGAAGTAACTGAGGTAGATAGAGGTTAAATAATTTGCCCAGGATCTCATAACACACAGCTAGTAGCTAGTAAGTTTCTGAGGTCACACTTGAACTAAGGTCTTCCTGACTCCAAGCCACTGCACTACCTGGTTACAGGAGAGTTTGGGATGTTCCCAAAATAAATAGTCCAGTTTGGTTTGAGTGGCTGAAGAGGAATAATCAGGGTAAGCTGCAACCAAATCATGAAGTCTCGAATGACAAGTAAAGAAGTTTGCATTTTATTCCACATACTTATAGGAAGCCATTAGTGTTCAGTTTTTTGGAGGAAAGGAATGACCTGGACCTGAGACATACATGCATTAGGATGATTCTTTGGGTCCTGATTAATTCTTGTATTTTTTTTTTTTTGCTTTTTGGTGAGGCAATCGGAGTTAAGTGACTTGCCCAGGGTCACACAGCTAGTAAGTTTCAAGTGTCTCAGGCTGGATTTGAACACAAGTCCTTCTGACTCCAAGGCCGGAGCTCTATCTACTTCACTACCTAGCTGCCCCTATTAATTCTTTAAATTAAGGTAGCCAGCAACTTAGAAGCTCAGATATACACAACTGGAAAATTTTTTATATCTATAAAACTCCCCAGTCTCAGGATCCCAAAAGTACTAAAGGTCCTATATTTCCAGAGAGTCAAGAGATCAGGAGTTAGCTGTCTGCTCAACATTTGGGGTACCTTCTAAAAATTGTAACCCTTCGATCTTGGAATAATGCTATAGAGCTGGTACTGAGTGTGAATTCAGTCTATCCCAAGAGACCTAATTACCAGTTATTTATTGATACAGATGCCTGACCAAAAGTTCCTGGTACCTCCACCTGCTACATCTACCCTTCATGAAGAAGTTTCCCCAGTATTTGGGGTAATAGACCATAGAAAGTGACACCACAGAGTTTAATTATCACAGAACCCTACAGAGAGTGACTGCCCAGATCAACTGGTTCTTTCCCCTGATAACTGTTTCTTCTTCTTGCCCCTGCAATTCAAGACCACCATCTGCCAATGCTAAAATTCTCTACCTCTCTCTCTACTAGTCAATATTTATGCCCAATCTCCAAGTCTCCCATGTATCCTGGGGGTCTGGTTTATGTAAGTCAAACCAGTTTTCTTCAATTCACAAAATCCCTCAAAACACAACCTACATAATCCAGCAAAACAATATCCACATTAGGAATGTCTAAATATGTGTTTCTCATTCTAGATTTTAAATTTATTATCTCCCTTAAGAAAATAATTTCAATCCTATCCTTCATATTGCCTTTGCACTGCACCCATGTTTGATCTCACACTATTTCCAAATTCCATCACATCAAAGTAACCTGGATTTCTTCAGAGCAGGCTACTCTCCCTATCATAAGCTGGAATACACTGGGCAGAAAAGAATAAATATATTCTTTTCCTCTCTCCAATGCTATTTCCAAACCCTTCTGCATCATTATCATTCAATCTCTACTCTTTTGAGATTTATTCCAATCAATCATTCTAATCAATCTCTCTATCACTCTATCCAGATATTTTTGGTGAAAATATACTCGATTCCCTTTCTTAAGGAATTTAGTGCCTGATTTACAATTTTTACAACCAAACCCTTCTTCCTCATTTTTGAAGATTGAATATACATTCTAATTGTCCTCTCAATGACTCTGGTTCCCCAGGTCAACCAGAACTCTCAGGTGACCTGATCTTCAACTATGTTATCCATAGGACTGCTCATGGATTTCACTGCCACCCCTATGATCTTGGAGTATGAAATTCCTCTTTTTTGACCACAATTTCCAAACCTTTCATCTGTTTCTATGTCTCACTTCTGCTCAATCTTTTTGTCCTCATAATGGTCTCTAGCCTTCCCCCTCCCCCCAAACACATACAATCTGAATATAAGACTCTTGGAAACAGAAATTTGTTTAGTTTTGCCTTTGCATACTCAGTGCTTAGGACAACACTTTGCAAATAACAGATACTTAATAGGTGCTTTTTGGATGGGATTATTCTTCCAGTCTCCATCCCTCAAGTCGAGGCTTCCTTTCCTTTCTTCAAACACTTAATTAGTCCCTCCTCCCACCATCCCATCTCCTATCACTTCTCTGCTCTAACTCCTATGTTGCTGGAGGAAGTCAAAGAATTGTATCAACTAGGTCTACTACAAATTCAAAAATTTTCAAGTAATTTCGATCAATTTGTCATTGTCTTTAACCCCTCCCCCTCAAATAAGCAAATTATTTAAAAATCTGCAGGTGCAATATAGTTTGGATGAAGAACAACAGAGCCAGACAGCAGTTAACAAAACTCTATACTCAAAAGAGCAGGAGGAAAACAGATCCAACTGTCTCAGTGTTCGGAGTCCTTTGCCTAAAATCCAAGGGGGGGAGGTGTTTGAGACGTGCACCTGGCAATGCAAAGGTTATCTATACTCTGGTAAAAGGTCCAGAGACCCTTAGGGCTCAAACTTTAATAGACTTTTAGACAAAGAAACAATATAGCATTAATTGGAGATTGCCCTATCATCAATAGGGAAAGATATTAGTATAAACAAGACCAATAAAATAAGAGTACTTTCCAAACTGCCCAATAAAGAGGGAGGAATAAGTAATAGGGATGAAAGAAACTTAACTTTTAACTGTGCCATCCAGCAAGAGGCTGGGGGAGGGGGCAATGCCCAATCTCCAAGTCTTCCATGCATCCTGGGGGTCTGAGGATATACCAGTCAAACCAGTTTTCTTCAATTCACAAAATCCCTCAATACATACCTACATAATCCAGCAAAACAAATATCCACATTAGCCATGTCTAAATATGTGTGCCTCTTTCTGGATTTTAAGTTCATCATCCCTCTATAAGAAAATAAGTTGCATGTTTTATCCTTGTTCTTTTAGTCTCATGGTTTCTAATTGCATTGGTCAAAGTTCTAAAGTCTTGTAAAGTTGTTTTTCTTCTACAATGCTGTTATCACAACATAAATTGTTCTTAGCTTTCCTTGGTATGCTCTGTTCAGAGGTCTTCCCAGCTTCTTCTGAAACTGTCCATTTCATCACTTCTTATGGTACAATCATATTTCATTACATACCACAATTTGATTAGTCATTCCCCAGTAGGACAGCCTCTTAGTTTCCAATTTTTGGCTACCACAAAAAGAGCTATAAATATTTTTGTACATCTAGATTCTTCTCTGATTTCTTTTGGGTTTAGATCTAGTAATGGTATTGCTACAGGGTCAAAGGGTATGTTCAGTTTGGTAACTTTCTGAGCATATCATCAAACTGCTTTCCAGAATATAGGGACTGATTCAGAGCTTCAAATGAGTGCATTTGTTTTCCCCATAGCTCCTCCAATAATCTTCTAATTTGTCATTTCTGCCAGTCTGATAGGTATGAATAAGAACTTTAAAGTTCCTTTGTCTTTTTCTATTACTGATTTAGGGTATTTTTTTCCTTATGAATGTTGATAGCTTGGATTTCTTCCTTAAAAAACTGCCTATTCACATCCTTTGACCATTAATCTATTGGACAATGACTCTTTGTCTTATAATTTTGAATCAGTCCCTTATTTATCTTGGATATGAGACCTCCCCCCCCATTACCTGTTTCCTTCTAATTTTTACGTAAGATTTGTGAAAAAATTTTTTTAGATAATCAAAATTGTTCATTTTATCTTGTGTGATCCTATCACTTGGTTAGTCATGAACTCTTCCCTTATCCACAGATCTGAAAGGTAATTTCTTTCCTGCTCCTCTAATCTGTTTATGATGTGACTTTTTATATCTAAGCTGCACATCCATTTGGAGCTTATCTTAGTACATGGTGTGAGCTATGGTTCTAAGCCTAATTTCTACCAGACTGCTGTCTATTTTCCCCATCAGTTCCTGTTAAATAGTGAGTCCTTACCCTGCATCAGAGGCCTAACATTTAATAACTCTATAACCTCTCAGATTTAGCTACCTAAGACTTATTTATCTAAGCCATCTACATAGATGGAGGGGTTTGCACACTAAGGAAATCACAGATTCTTGAAACATTCGACTATATGGATAATCTTTTTTTGAAGTCTTATGCAAAAAGCCAGCAACCTCTTTAATCCCACTCGGTATAAACTAGATAAGACTTGCCTACCACTAAAAGGCCCAAGATAAGAGAGTTGAGGGGGAAGGGAAACAGGTACATAAGGAGTAAGGCTTTTAATTGTATCAGATTCCGGAAGCTGCCTGAGATTTAAAGTATTATTTTGTCTAAAAGTTTTAGTTAGAGGCAGAGGGCTAGACTTGCTGATCTCTGGAAAACACTTACTGTTCCATGGTTTTAAAACTACATACCATGTTTAGCCTACGTCAGATTGTGAGCCATTTTGGGGAGGGAGATGAGGAGGGAGGAGGACAAAAATTTCAAACTCAAAAGATTATGGAAATGATTGTTGATAAATCAAAAATAAATTAATTTTTAAAAAAGAGAACACGGAACTACAGAACAGAGGACTTAAGGGGGGAAAGAACCCTGTATTTTAAAATACATGGTTCATAATTTCAAATTTAACATCTATAAATTTGAAGAAATTTCACTTAGAATCCTTTGTGACAAGCCATCAGTACACCTCAGTTGAAGTATAGTACTCATGAAGCCAAAGTTGTAGGCTTGGAGTCTATAAAATAGCTTCAAAAAATTGGAAAAATTTTCTATTGTACTAGCCCTTACTCTACTCTGTCCTCAGGCTGATGCTTTAATGCAAAGCAGAGGGAAAAAAAAACCCTACAGATTTGGGTTTTGATTTGGAATCAGAGGACCAGTGAGTAAATATGTACTCTATTACCCATGTGATCTTCACAATCTCATTGGGTATCAGCATACTACTCTATAAAATGAGTACTCTGTATGAGAAGATCTCTAAGGTATCTTCTAGTTCTAGAGTCTATAATCTCATAATCCTATGAATCAATTACTATTATTAAGGGGAAAAAAACTTGAAGCACATATTCTTCATGCAAACTACTTCAAATGTTGCTGGAGATTCAAAGATTTATTTAGAATGCTTACTATCCCTACACAAAGGAGCTTTTAAGATATCCTGGAAAGATTCTCTTATTCACTTAAGAATATTCAAATAGCTACCTATGTAAAGGTAAAACAAGGAAATTTCTGCCTTGCTCTTCTCCTAGTTCTTGCAACAAGGATAAGCTTTCCTGGCTATTATCTAAAATCACTGATCCTGTTCCAGAAACAAGCTGCTGCTGGTGATGAAACTACAGGATCACAGAGTTCGGAGGGATGGAATTTTGGAGATAATCTAGTCCAACTTCCTCATTACAAAGGAGGAAATGAGGACTAGAAAAGGGAAGTGACTTTCCCAAAGTAACTCCGATGGTAATAGAAAGCAAAGATTCAAATCTTTTTCCTATACCACATTGCTTTTCTGTCACACACACACATCAAATATATCTGGTATTCTCATTTAGTGCTCTGATTCCCAGGCACTTCCAGGAAGATATGTTTGGAAGGAGGTATGACTGAGGGGAAAGAAAGGTTTCAAACTTTGGTGTGGTGGAATCCTTCCAGAACTTATGTTCTAGAATCTCAAAACCTGGTTTCTTCTCAGGGTTTTGCCAGAAAGTATGAAGTAAATGAACTTTTAAGCATGCTCACTATGGAAACTTATTCTTACAAGGTGCTGGTAGCGAAACTAGGATTTCCAAAGTAACCTAGTTTAAAATCACTGTTTTAAGCATGATAAAACTTTTAAAAGAGTATAGTTTTCCATTAAAGTATGGAGTGCCAAAATTGTGGGAAGTTATGATAAAAACTGTATTAGTTAATATTTAAGCTCTTCATAACCTAGCCTCCCTCCAGGCCTTTCTAGTGTTCCACCTTACACTCTCCACATACTCTTCAATCCAGTGATACTGGCCTCCTTAGATACCTCCTCACATTGGCTCACCTTCATACAGGGAATGCTCTACCTTCTGGCTTCCTTCCAGTCTCAGCTAAAATCTCACACAAAGCCTTTCCCAATCTCTCTTAGTTCCAGACTCTTCCCTCTGTTGATTATTTCCTATTTAACCTGTATGTAGCTTGTTTGTACATAGCTGATTGCATACTGTCTCCCCCATTATATTGTGAGTTCTTTGAGAGTATTTGCTTTTCTCCCTGTAACCCCATTGTTTAGTACAGTGCCTGGCACGTGGTAGGGGCTCAATAAGGGTTTACTGACCAAGTATTTGTTGAATATTTACTATACCCAGTACTCTGCATTAAGAATACTCCTTAATGAATAAGCATGCTACTTACCTTCTGAATGAGAAGTGATGGACTCAGGATGCAGGATGACAAATATTATTTTTTGGACATGGCCAATATGATTTAATTTTGCTTCATTCTGAATATTTGTTATAAGAGTTTTGCCCTTTTTCCCCTCCAATGAGAGAGAAAAGTTTTATTGAAAAAATTAAATTAAAAAATTTAAAACCCACCAAGAGTAGTCCTATGAAATTATTTGTTATATTGACTCTATCTAGCCACGGAATTCATTTTTATAATCCTTGAAGGTATTTAGATTTTAAGTATTATTTTACCCATTTTACAGACAGAAGAAACTGGTGACTTCTGGTGGCAAAGTACATTATTTACAGGAACTCCTATTTTCTCCCCATATCCATCAGGATTAAATCTTTTGCAAGAAGCTTATTTTCTGTCACTTTTATAAATAACAGATCTGTGTAGTAATCTTTGGGTTGATTTTTTTTTAAAAATGTGTCTATTTAAGTTTTCCAGAGTCTCAAAAACAAGTCAGTAATAAAGCGCTGTCTAAAATTCAAAACTCGAGTTTTGAATTTGATCTAGTACTGAAACCCATTCCCCCACAGCCTTTCAATAATATCTGCTTTTAAAAACTGTTTTATATCTGATTTTATTAATGTAAATAAGCCTTCCTATGTTAATAAATCATTTGAAAAGCAAACTAGGGTAGCTGAAAAAGCCCTTAAAGACTTAGGTTATGTATGAGTTTGAACAATCACTGATTTGGCACATGACTTAGGCAAGTGCCTAGAACTCGGTGTCTTCATTTGTTAAATGAGGAGGTTGGACTAAATAATCTCTAAGGTTGAGTCTAAAATTCTAAATCTTTTGTATTTTTACACACCCATCAGTTTAGTATCGGAGATTCAAATTACAATAGGGGGCCAAAAAGGAGCTCATAATGAAATACTAAAGTACTGTATTTTTGGTTTATGATAGGAGACTGGAGTTCAAATCCCACTTCTGATGCTGCCTAGCAGTGATTGTGGGTAAATCACTTACGTGCCTGACGCCTCAGTTTCTGAAACTGTAAAATAGGGATAATAATACCTGTAGTATCCACCTCATTTGAATTGTGAGGTTCAAGTAAGAATATGTGTAAAACATTTTTAGAATCAGTCATTTTGTAACAGGTCTTGAATTTTCGTAAACAATATGAATTTGAGTTGTAGCTTTGAGACATATACTTCAAGGAGTAAGGCCTCTCAAATCTTTCTTGAACAAGCCAAGACAAGGGTTACTATAAACAAGTTTAGGTGAACAATGCTGAAACATATAGCAATTCTCAGTGGGGTAAGAAATATAATGAATATACTATATAAAGAATTGACATAATCATGCTCTAGGCTAAAAATACGTAATTCAAAATCAAAGAAATGGATGCTTTTAAAACCTAAAGGAAGAATTTACCAATTTCTTAAATTACTAACTCTCTCAAAATTACCACCTGATAAATCAAAATTCAAAGGCCCAAACTCAGCATGTCCAAAACTGAAAGTCACTTCTCTACTCCTACAACTTGTTCTTGTTCTTGTTAATGGCAACCATCACCTTCTTTAGTGTTACCCAAGCTAAAAACCTCAGTCATCTTTGACTCTTCAGTCAATATCTAATTAGTTGCCAACTCTAAAATCTCTCTTGTATTTGTCCCTCCTTTCTACTTCTAGTGCAACCAACCTTGATTCAGGAATCAAGGGACCTTAGTTTTGAAACCCAGCCCTACTACTTACTTACCTGAACGGCCCTGAAGGCATTTAACCTCTCCAAATCTGTTTTCTTAAATAAGGGCCCTGGACCCCAGCATCAGTTCTCAAACTGTGATTCAACCCCCCCCCCAATCCCAAGCACATGCCTCTCCCACTACTCCCACCATCCCTGAGACCCTTTCAAGGGATCCTCGAGGTCAAAACTATTTTCACACTAATACTAAGACATTTTAATGTCTAATATGGTAATTATAAACAAACATAAACAAAAGCTCTTTGAGGTCCTTAATAATTTTTAATAATGTACAAGGGTCCGAAGGCCAGAAAGTCTGAGAATCACTGGCCCAGGTGAGAGGTATAGCCCAGCCCCACCCCTGTTTTTGTAAGGCCTGTGAGTTAAGAATGGTTTTTACATTTTTTAGTAAAATTAAGTGTATTTTATTTTAACACAAAAAAAGGCAGCAAGCCACCTTGGATGACAGCCTGCCAACCCCTGGCCTAGGTGGTCACTTGAGTCGCTTCCAGCTCTAAATCCCATGACTGGTCCTCGCAATAGCCTTCTTACTGGCTTCTCTAATTTTCTCACCCTGAATAAAATCAGCCAGAGTAATCTTCCTATAATGTCCTCCAAGTAATACGGAGGGGAGGGGACGCGGAAGGGGGAGAGAGAGAAAGAATTTTCAGTGCACCTACTGCCAACAGAAAAATTTTAAACTCCCTGACCCCACACACCTGGCTCCAACCCACCTTTCCCTTCTTACTGCATGCAATGCCCTGATTGTCTTCTGATCTCTCAGCCTTTTCATACACCATCTCTGAAATACTTTCTCCCTTCAAGGTCCAACTCAAGTGCTAGCTATCTCTTCCTTGTAATCTTTCCTGATCTTCCCACTTAAAAGTTTCCACCTTCCTAGAATTTACCATACTACTCTAGGTCTTTCCTGTGCACATAACATAACTTGTATTTATAGTTATCTGGGTTCTTGGCCTATGAAAGCTCCTTGAGAGCAGAGTTAGTTTTGTTTCACCTGAGGATACACTGCAATATACATGGCAGCACCTAATAAAAGTAAAGGGAGCAAAAAGTTAAACCTAGAAACTACTTCTTGTAGCTTAAACCACTTGTTCTTAACTTTAAAAATATACAAATTTTTTTCCCTCATCCAGATTTACAAACTGAAATATATGTTTGAGTAGGAAACACCAGGTATGAGCTTTTTTTTTTTGCCTCAGACTACAAAAGGGATCTGCTACATTACTATTTTTAGCTTCAATTTAGAAGTGTGGAATTGTGTTTGTGACCTTACTCCAAATAGTCAAATATCTGACTAACCTTTTGTTTGCTCCATACCACTAAGAATTCCAAGAAAAAAAATCAGTCAGAAATCAATGACAAAGCTCTTCAAAGGAAAAATATTTAATCCATTAAATATTTAAGATTTTTCTATTGTTCAGTAGTTTTTAATGCATTTAAGTAAAACATACCATTTATAATTATTGTACCAACTTCAACCTATTGTTATTAACCAAGTACTCAACATTATTATAGATAGATACCAGATAGATTTACCAGAAATTAAATCACCAGATGGCTAACCAACAAATAGCAGTGTGAGGATTAAACTCAGACATCTGATACCTTGTGGTAGATAAGTGTGAAGAACACTTAGAGCAAAGAAACTTTTCCTAAGGTAGTTTAAAATCAGTCACCTTCCCTCAATACTGGTTTCATTCCAAGTATGGGCCTTCATCCACTTTTTCATCTGGACTACAACAACCTTCTTCATTGATCTCCCTGCCTCAAGTCACTTCCCCTATCGTAATACACCCTCTACACAGGTGCCCAAGTAATACTACTAAAACACAGGTCTGACCAGGTCACCACCCTGTTCAAAAACTCCCAACAGCTCCTTATTACCCCAAGATTAAAATATAAACTCTGTTTGGCTGTTAAAGCCCTTCATGGTCTGGCACTAACATGTTTTAATATTTATTGCATCTTCACTAACTCTATTATACAATCCAACCGTCCTACTACTCCTCTATCATCTCCCGCCTTTGTAGCTTGGCAGACAGTTCCCTCCTCATCACTACCTTTTAGAATTCCTAGCTTCCTTCAATGCTCCATTCAAGTACCATCTATCTATATGAAGCCTTGCCTAAAGTCAGCAGCTACCACTCATCAATTCATCAAATTAACCCTCTATTTACTTTGTATATATTATATATTTATTTGCCTGTGTACAAAGTTTCCCCAATACAGCATACGTTCTTTGAGGGCAAGGCCTTTTTCATTTGTCTTTATAGCCCCAGAACCTGGCATAGTGTCTGTCATACAGCAAGCATGTAATAAATGCTTCTAAATCTAGCTGTTAATAAATCTTTTAAGTACAGCATCTAGCTTCCAGCCATTATTTAACCAGATATTTTTCAGCAGAGAATTTTACCTAGCAATTCAATCAGTTCTTCACTTAAAACTGGATGAATTCAGACAATTCATTTGGATGTGATTTACCCCAACGCTTGGCGGGGGACAGGCGGTCTGTCACTTTAAAACAAGGATTCTTAACTTTTTCTTTTAATCTCACAGATTCCTATGGCAGCCTGGTGAAACTTACAGACCTATAAATACTTTTTAAACGCATAAAATAAAATACATAGGACTACCAAAGAAACCAACTATATTTAAATACAATTATCAAAATACTCTTTACAAAGTTCCTAGGAAGGTTAAGGAAGTCTGCTTTAAAAGGATTATAAAGAACAGTAACTGATTTAACAAAAATAAAAGCCAAATTTTTTGTTTCTCCTCCCCTCCTCAAAACAGTTACAAAAGCTATTCCTTATTAAGAGTGTGTATTCTTTGTAATTAGGGTCTTCTAATCTAGCGATTTTTTTTACCACCACACAAATAGATCTTAAGGATTTCTTAAAGGCAGCATTTTTTAAGAGACTGATTATTGCCAGTTCAAAATTTTTAAAGAATGAGCCATAAAGGGTACCTCATTTTGTTCAATTTATTATTTCATTAGGTACTAAAAAACAAAATCTTTAACTGACAGTCTCATTAGATATGCATGACCAAAACCAGAAAATCTAGAGAAACCAATACTGCAATGCCTTAAAATACCCTAATGGAACAGTAGAAGGCAATCCAAGCAAGTTATACTGACTAGCCCAACAGCAACTTTTAGACTTTATTAGTCAATAACACACCCACCAAAGCAAAACAAAATATATTCTCCCTGCCCAAACATCAGTAGGTATTACTTAACTATCCCGAGCCAGTTTGAAAATAAACATTTTTAAGAAAACACACCAACTGCTCTTTGATCAAATCGGGCTTTTACAACTGCCCATTGTGTGCATTTTCAAAGTTTAGATAGGATACAGTAGCTCTTACCTCCCCACAAACTCCAAAAGAAGGCGGTCTACAGCACAACTCAGGATTTGCCCCACCAAGCAAAATCTTCACTGTTCATTGATATAGTATACGGCCTTTTATGGTTTACACAGAGACTTTCTCCTAACAATCCTGTGTGGTAGCTACCGCCAATACTACATCCAATTTACCAGAAAGGAAACTGAGTCTCTTGGAGGTTAAGAGACAAGGTCACAAAGGTTACTAGTAGGGATTTCGCCCAGGTCCTCTGCAATCGAGTGCTCTTTCAAGTACACTGGCCAGGGTCTCTCAGCTAGTGAGCTAAGCGCGCGGCTGCACGTTAACAGGCGCCCAGTGTTTGTTGAATGGTATGTGAATATTAAAAGACTGGCTATTAATTTGGGGTCAAAATTTACCCATTGCTCAAGCAATGACACTGTTTGAATAAAACACATGCTACCAACGAACTGCTGCATAGGAGAATCCGTACCGTGGCTACTTACGTTTTCAGTGTCTCGCTCAATGACCGTTGGCAAAGGGGTCCTAGTGGACATTTTAATTCACTTTTAATTTTTTTCCCCACAATGGAGAGGAAAAACAAAAGAAAAAAAGGAAAAAAGAAACAAAAGAAACAGGACGCCCGAAAAACAAGGAACGACAAGAGGGAATCAAGGCTCGCCGGTCCGGTGGCCACAGGACAGTCTCAGTAGTGGTTCGGAAGGGGCACCATGGGGGAGGGGTGGCTTCCTTCTCCCTCCCCCCGCACAGTGGTCTAGATCCCAGGCTCGGCCGAACGATTCCCGGGGCAGGTTCCGGGCTTCATGCTGCTTTCGCTGCCCCACCCCCCCAAGTCTGGGACCGGACACCGACCCCCCTCCCCCTCCCCGCCCCGGTGCAGCTGGAGGGGCGGGGAGGCTTCAGGCGTGGGAAAGTCCTGGGAGGAGAGCGGTGCCCAGGGCAGGGCAGTGGAGGGCGCGGCGGGGCTGGGCTAGGGGGTCTCTGAGGTCCGTCCCGGCTCCCGGGCTGGGCAGTCAGGGAGGAGCAGCACGAGCAGAGGCGGCGGCGGCGGCGGCAGCGGACCAGGGCAGGGCCAGGCCGGACAGGGGAGGGCAGGCTGCGGGGTCCGCCCGCCAGGCTCTCCCGGGCCCCCGCGAACCTCGCACTCCTTCGGCCGCTGCTGCTCCTCTTCCTCCCCTCAGCTTTCAGCGCCGGGGCCTCCACACCCCGGCACCAGCCGCCCTGGAAGAGGAACGAAGGGTAGGCTGCGGAGGGTCACAGGTGCCGACCATGGAAGGGGCCTCAGGCGGGGAACTGCGGTCTCCCTCCACCGTCTCTTGCCGCCCCAGCCCCGCCCGCCTGCCTGCCTCCGCCGCTCAGATCTCCGCAGCCCGCTGCCGCCTCTCCTCAGAGATCCAAGATGGCCGCCACCCAGCTTCCTCTGCTGCCTCCGGCTCCCCTCGCCGACCCCAGACGGGAACGGAAGTGACAACACCCTCTTCGCCCCGCCTCTCCGGACGAGACTCGGCCAATAGCCGAGGCGGGAGGAGGCAAGCCTTGGCTGTTGTTGCTAAGGGCGACTGGATTCCTGTCAGGGAGGGAAGGAAGGAAAAGGGAAAGGGAGGGGGGCAAAGAGGGAGGGGTGGGGAGGAGAAGAAGGTAACAAGGGGAAAAGGTGGGGCCGCTGGTGGGAGAAGGGTCGTAGGGTTTAAGAGTCTGAAGAGACCTTGGAGACCAAAGAGAGACCCTTGGAGTCCAAACCCCAATTTTTACAGAAGGGGAAACTGAGGCCCAGAGAAGGGAATTGACTTGCCCAAGGTAATATAATTAATAAGTTAATAAGTGGCTAAGCTGGGAGAAGAACCCAGGTCCTCTGGCTCTAAATCCAGTTATCTCAACCCCTGTCCTCTTTCCCTGGAAGAGTTTAACTCCCATATCTTCCTTTATCTTTAAAGGATTCTTTAAAGATTCTTATCTTTGGAAGTCCATTGTGTGGGTGTTAAGTCCCATCTGCTTGGTTTCTTGACCGTGTCTTCCCTTCCTGCTCCTCATCATATTTCAGCTTTCAGCTAGTCATTACTGAGCTGAGCTCTGCAGTCTGGGAGACTATAGAAGAGACCATCCTTTAGAGCAGAAGACAAAAATATCATTGGCCGTATCCCCTGCTTAAAAGTGTTTGGTGACTTCCTGCTGCCTGCCAAATACAATTTTTTTTTTCCTTTGGTGAGGGCAGTAGAGGTTAAGTGACTTGCTCAGGGACACACAGCTAGTAGGTGGCAAGTATTTGGCCTGAGGCTCGATTTGAACTCAGGTCCTGCTGACTTCAGGGCTGGTGCCCTATCTCCTGGGCCACCTAGCTGCCCCCCCCCATACAATTTATAAAGTCAAAGATGGGAGTGTAGAATTTGGAAGTGGACAGGGATTTAGAAAGGACCTAGTCCCATTCCTTCATTCAACAGATTGGGAACCTGAAGTGCAGGGGGGAAGTGATTTGCCCAAGGTCACATACAGTGTAAGTAATTGTACCTGAATTAGGTCAAACTTTTATGTCTGGTATTGAAGGCCTATTGCAACCTGGCACTATCCTCTATTTATTTCCAGCTTCATCTCACACTACCCTCCACCATCTAATTAAACAATTGAGCAAGAATTTATTAAGTGCCTACTGTGTGCAAATCATTTTATGAGATGATACAGATGTGAAAGCAAAATGAAAAAACAGTACCTATCCTCAAGGAGCTTACTTCTACTAGGGGGATACATCAAAGAATTGGAAAGAGCACTAGCAACTAAGGGAAACAGGAAAGGCTTTCTCTAGGAGTGCACACAGATCTCTAAGGTCCCTTCCAGCTCGGACAGGTTATGATGTTAAGAGCCCACTATCCTAAGAGAGTAACTGGGGTGAACAGGAGGCTTAGCTATGAAGAGAGAAATACCAGTGTATTGTCTAGAAAATTAACAAGGACATCATGAGCTACAAAAGGCTGAAAATACAAGATGCTTGATGTTGATACAGAAGTACTAATTTCTTCTGCTTATGCATCCTGTAAGCAATGGAAAACCAGCCAAACATGAACAATGTATGGCGGACAGAATTTTTCTGTCCTAGGAGCTGTACAAGGGTCATAGAGCTAGGGCTGGAACAGACCTCACAGGCCATGCAGTCGAACTCCCTCATTTGACAGATGATGTAAATGAGAACCCAGAGACTTGCTCAAGGTCATGTAAAGTGGCAGAGCCAGGATTCAGGCCTGGATCTGGTCTGAAACCAAGTTCAGCACTCCAAGTGGAATATTCTTTCCACTACACCATGCTGCCTCTAGAGAAAGGCAAAGTCCCAGGTATTGTATATTCCAGTCAGATTGAATTCCTCTCTGTCCCCCAGCATATCACGTACTTTCGTGCCTTCGTGCTTTTGCTCAGGATGTTCTCTGTAACTGGAATATTGTCCCTTTACCTCTTCACCTACTGATGATAAATACAACAATAACAGACACATTCAGTGCTTCAATACTGATGCAATATCACCCCCATTTTGCAGATAAAGAAACTGAGGCTTAGAGGGCAGACTCACACAGTAAGTATGTGAGGTGATATTTGAACACAGATCTCCTAACTATAAGATAATCATATTCCTACCCATCCTTTAAAGCTCAATTCAAATGACACCTAATCTTCTATTTAAAAAAAATTTTGCTTCTCAGATTTCACGCAGAATTTTGCTTAATGCCTCTGATGCTCTTATCATGAAATATCATGAATTATGGTTATCTGTTTTTGTCTGATCCCTTTACTAAACTGTAAATTCTGTAAGTGCATGTATGGGATTTAGTTAAACTGTGTATCTCCTCCAGTGGCATGTCATGCCAGTGTAATAGGCATTTGATAAATGTTTGTTGTATCGCAGTGAAATGAAGACTTGAGACCCTACCTTCCAGGGGCTTATGAAGCATTTGAGAAGCAAGATTGACCCACGTGAAGCACCTGGAGAACAATACAAAAACGTAATTAAGTAGCTTTTTATTTGGAACAGAGAACTATAGGAGTTGAAGAAGAAGGATCAGGGAAAGCTTCAGAGAAAATAGGTCTTGAGTTTGGTCTTGAATTCAATTCAATTCAATTCAACAAACATTTTAAAGCACAAGTTCCTGTGCTAAGCACTGGGGAACAAAACTTTTAAATGACTCAGAGCCTGCCTTCAAAAAGCTTACAATTCCAGAAAGAGAATACTACAGGTACACAAGTTACTATGACACTTGGATCACAGAATATAATGACAGCAAAGGAGCAATCCAGTAAAATTGCTACCAAAAAGCTGCATTGGAGGGAGAGGATTTTAAGGTGGGGGGAGGGGAGGAGTGGCCAAGTTTCTTGAAGGTGGCATCCAAGTAGGGCATTAAATGAAATGAAGGAGTTCAACAGATGGAAATGAGCAAAGGGATCCCATTCCAGGCATGAGAATTTTATAAACAAAGGCTTAGAGCCCAGAGAGGACAGGACAAGAACAGATGGTGAGTCGTCCAGTTTTGCTGGAATGTAGAATATGTGAAGGGGAGTAATGGCTGGAAAGATAGAGTGGCACCAGACTCTGAAAGAGGGATGATTGATGGCCTGGAGGAATCGGGCAGCCTTAACAAAGGGGTGGGATTACCTTTTCCTATGAGAAAAGAGAAGTAAGGATGTGGATATTCAGCGCTTCAGAAGAAGAGGAGGATGGGAATTAAGGAAGTTTATATCAATTTCCTCAGTCTTCCCAGTAAAGGAAAAGGTGTGTTCATCTGTAGTGAAGAAGGCTAGGTTGGATTTGGGTAGACTAAAACAAAACCCTAATGTGTGATCATATACTGAGCCCTGGGACTTATATTAAAACATAGAAGGCATATCTTCTATCCTCAGTGAGCTTCTCATCTAAAGAAAAAAAAACCAGAAGACAGGTTTTTTTTTTTAATATTGGGATAGCCATTCATTCAACATGCACCCATTAAGCATTTATGACGTACAAGACATTGCTCCATGTGCTAGCTGTCTAAAGACAATCAAAAAATAAATTATTAAAAAAAAAACCCAGTCTCTCTGCTCAAGGTGCTCATATTCTACTGAGGAGATACAACATTTACAGAGATAAATAAGTACAAAATGATTTGGAAAAAGGAGTTGTCCTAAAAAGTATAAGGTTCAAGAGAGGACTTATGTTTTTTGGAGGCAATTGGGGTTAAGTGACTTGCCTGGGGTCACATACCTTTGTGTCACTGTGCCACATAGCTGCCCTGTAAAAGAGTTATTATAAAGGAATATTACAAAAAGGAACAGAAAAGGTCCAACCATTCTAGAAAGCAATTTGGAACTATTCATCAAAAATCACTAAGCTGTGAATACCCTTTGACCAAGAAGTACCCCCAAAGAGAGCAAAGAAATAGGAAAGGGACTCATATGTTTCATATATGGATATAGGTATAAAAAGAATTGATTTCATACTGTGTGAATATATATATATATATATATATATATATATATATATATATATATATATATATTCAGCTCTTTTTATAGTGTCAAAGGACTGGAAAGTAAAGGAGTACCCATC